ATTTTATTTGAGAGGTAGAGTTACAGACAGTGAGAGAGAGAGAGAAAGGTCTTCCTTCGTTGGTTCACTCTCCAGATGGCCGCAACGGCTGGAACTGCATCCATCCGAAGCCAGGAGCTAGGCGCTTCTTCCCAGTCTCCCACACGGGTGAAGGGGCCCAAGCACTTGGGCCATCTTCTACTGCTTTCCCAGGCCATAACAGAGAGCTGGATTGGAAGTGGAGCATCCGGGACTAGAACCAGCGCCCATTTGGGATGCTGGCGCCCCAGGTGGAGGATTAACCCACTGCACCCCAGCGCCAGCCCCATGGGTTATTTGTCTATATTGATGCAATCTTTATTTATAAGTGTGTCTCTGACACATATTGCAAATATTTTCCCCAATACCTTTGTGGAAGAAGTGTGGTATTTAGAATTTTTACTTTTATGTGGTCAAATTTGTGAATTCTGATACCATAATTTGAAAGGTCTTTCTAGTTATAAAAAAATTAGCATGCAAGTTCATTATTTTTATAATTCTAATTTTTGTTGGTATATTTAATTCATCTGAAATGTGTATTTCATCTGGATATGGTTTGTGTGAATTAGGAACCTAAATTATATTTATTTTTATATTTATTTTTCCATTGAAAGCCACTGTTGTTTCAAATCCTTCTTTTATTAGATAAACCTTTCCCACTGATCTGAAATGTCACCTTTAATATGTATGTATTCTTCACATTAACCTGATTTTGTTTCTAAGCTATTCTGTTCCATTAATCTATCTGTACTAACTCAGTATTGTGTTTTGTTTTTTATTTTTTTAAAAGATTTGTTTGAAAGTCAGAGTTACAGCAACAGAAGGGGGGGGAGAGAGAGAGAGAGAGAGAGAGAGAGAGAGAGAGATCGATCTCCATCTTCTGGTTCACTCCCCAAATGGCCACAATGGCCAGGGCTGGGCCAGGTTGAAGCCAGGAGCTGGGAGCTTCTTCCAAGTCTCCCATGTGGGTACAAGGAGCCCAAGGACCTGGGCCATCCTCCACTGCTTTCCCAGGGACTTTAGCAGGGAATTGGATTGGAAGTAGAGTATCGAGGACTGGAATGGGTGCCTATATGGGATGCTGACGCTGCAGACAGAGGCTTAATCTCCTGTACCAGAGTGCTGACCCCTCAATATTGTTTTGATTACTATAGCCTTAAACACCTAATACACAAAATAATTTACTAATTTTCATGTTTATTGACTGCCTTCACACAGTCACAAGAGAAGAATCTTTTTCTAAATACCCAGAACTGTATGTATTGAACTACATTCCATAGATACTTGTTAAGTAGATGACTACGTATTTGCAGTGTTGGGTCTTACCTCCCCGGGGTATTTTATCTTTTCATTATTTTGTTTTCTCTAGTTAGTCTACTCAAATCTTTTATGTCTTTCTGAGTCAATTTTAGAAGTTTGCACCAAATTTTCCTTTAAAAAAATCTCTTGATTTTTATCTAGATTTTTCTACTTCATTGGCAAAGGTTCTTCATTTTAACTTTTAATTTTTTTTTTTTTTTTGACAGGCAGAGTGGATAGTGAGAGAGAGAGACAGAGAGAAAGGTCTTCCTTTACCGTTGGTTCACCCTCCAATGGCCACCATGGCTGGCGCACGGCGCTGATCTGAAGGCAGGAGCCAGGTACTTATCCTGGTCTCCCATGGGGTGCAGGGCCCAAGGACTTGGGCCATCCTCCACTGCACTCCCAGGCCACAGCAGAGAGCTGGCCTGGAAGAGGGGGCAACCGGGACAGAATCCGGCGCCCTGACCGGGACTAGAACCCGGTGTGCCGGCGCTGCAAGGCAGAGGATTAGCCTAGTGAGCCGCGGCACCGGCCGTACTTTTAAAATTTTGTATGTACCCATATAATTATATTCTCTTTTTCATGTAAAATTTTGTTTATGCCCCACCTCCTTGTTAGTTTGGCTAGCAAAAGATGTTTATTATTTTTAGGATTTTTTCCCCTTCTTTGTTTTCTTTTCCTTTTGAGAACAAGTCTTAGATTTTATTTATCAAATCTACTTTCTTTTTTATTAAGTTCATTAACTTCAGGTTTTGTCATACTTGTTCACTTCTACTTCCTCTATATTATTTTGATAGTCTGTTACCTGCTTAAGTTAAATGATTGGCTCATTTGTTTTCAGTCCTTTATATTTTCTAAGCACTTAATGCTATAAGATACAAGCATAGGCTGTGACATTTTCTCTGTATGTCTTTAGCTGCATAGCACAAGACTCATACTATTCTCATTATTTTAAAAATAATTTTCATCTTTGATAATTTAGCAATATTTTAAGTCAGTAGTGTGATCAGTGAGAGACGATGGATTCTGTCCCGGTTGCCCCTCTTCCAGGACAGCTCTCTGCTGTGGCCAGGGAGTGCAGTGGAGGATGGCCCAAGTGCTTGGGCCCTGCACCCCATGGGAGACCAGGAGAAGCACCTGGCTCCTGCCATTGGATCAGCATGGTGCGCTGGCTGCAGCGCACCAGCGGCAGCGGCCATTGGAGGGTGAACCAACGGCAAAGGAAGACCTTCCTCTCTGTCTCTCTCTCTCACTGTCCACTCTGCTTGTCAAAAAAAAAAAAAAAAAAAAAGCATATGGGAGGAACATCTAATCCAGATTTATGGGATCAGAAAACTAGGTGTGGAGGAAATGACTAGTAAACTGAAACCAGGGAGACAGTGTTTGTTTTAAATGAGCTTACTGGTTAAAATAGGGGATTGACAGGGTGGCATTATGGTGCAACAGGTTAAGCCGCCACCTGCGACACTGCTATGGGCACTGGCACCAGTCCCCGCTGCTCCACTTCAAATCCAGCTCCCTGCTAATGTGCCCGGGAAAGTAGTGGCAGATGGTCCAAATGCTTGGGCCCATACCATCCACATGATGGAGGTCCAAGGTCCTGGCTTTGGCCTAGCCCAGCCCTGGCTGTTGCAGCCATTTGGGAAGTGAACCAGCAGATGGAAGATCTTTCTTGCTCTCTGTCCTTCTCTTTCTCTGTAATTCTTCCTTTTAAATAAATAAAAATTTAAAAATAGGGGGTTGAGGTAGCATCCTGTGCTGAGTATATGGTATGTGCAAAGATACAGAATTTGCAAGAATATGGCAAGTTTGAAGAACTGAAACTAAATACCTAGATAATTGAGTTTGAGGCAAAGAGGGACAAGAGATGAACCTTCCTAAAGGAAAGAAGGACAATTGTCATGAAACAGTTTGGACATTAAAGATAACCAAAGGACCAGCTCTGTGGTGTAGTAGGCTAAGCCTTTGCCTATGGCACTGGTTTGTGTCCCAGCTGTTCCTCTTCTAATGCAGCTCTCTGCTTATGGCCTGGGAAATCAGTGGAAGATGGCCCAGGTTCTTGGGCCCCTCCACCCGTGTAGGAGACCAGAAGAAGCTCCTGGCTCCTGGCTTCTGATGGGCCCAGCTCTAGCCACTGCAGCCATTTGGGGAGTGAACGAGCAGTTGGAAGACCTTTCTCTCTCTGTCTCTCCCTCTCTATGTGTAACTCTGCTTCTCAGTAAATAAATTAAAAAAGATAACCCAAAAATAATACATTATTTTGTTTTGTGAGGTTCTAAATTCAATATATTATGCTGTATTATTATATATAGTGTATTTTTCTACACTATATACTATAGTATACACATACACACACACACACACACACACATATATCTCCTGCAATTACTTTCTCATTCAACACGGAGAAATATTTTATTATATCATCAACCCACATTTTTCTCCCCTCCCACCTTGTAATCTGGTGCATAGACTTATGATTAAGTAAATATAATTAGAATATAATTTATAAAAGTATTACTGATTTATTCAAATTCCAAATGTAAGATGCACAATCACAACATAACTCTGACTCTTTGAATTCACCTTCCACATTTCAGCCAGTCGTCTCCATGTGTTATTTGAAAATTAAAAAATATATACCCCTAGAGACTACATAGAGAGAATGTCTTGAAACCAAACTATGGAATCAAATAGAGCAACTGCAACTTGTACTATATATATATACACACACACACATATATATATATATATTTGGTTCTATTCTATATATATATATATATATATCTATATATATATATATTTGGCAATAGAACCAAAGAAGTTAAGAGTTGTATACTCTACAACCTGCTCTGGTTTAGGCAGAATACTCTATTAAATGGAGAAAGTCGAGCATTATCAAAAATGAGTCTGCGAAAGTGGGCTCTGCTTTTTACCACGCCCTCTCCCCTATTTCTTTTGCCCAATTGCATTAGTCTTCTACGGTTAACAACAAAATACCATAGGCTGGGTGGCTGAAACAATAGGGACTTCTTTTCTCAGATTTCTTTTCCCAGCTCTCTGAAGACTGGGAGTTCATGATCAAGGTACCATCAGGATTGGTTTCTCACGAGACCTCTATTCCTGGCTTGTAGATGGCCAGTCTTCTTACTGTATCCTCGTGTGGCCTTCCCCCTCCCAGTTCCCAGAAATGTGTCTTCTTATATGGACACCAACCCTATTGGGTTAGGAACCGTGCTTATGATCTCATTTAACTTTAATTAATTCTTTAAAGATCAGATCTCCAAACATAATCATATTGGAGATTATTAGGCTTCAACATACAATTGGAGGGGAGCATAATTCAGTCTACAGTTCCCAATGATACTATTCCTACCATGCCAGTCCTCAGTTTTACTTAATACACTAACTCAAGCTCTTTTTTTTTTCTCTTTATAAAAGTGATATAGTGAATATAAGGAGAAAATGTATTCAGGAAGAAATGTGAATACAGTGAAGTGGGATAAAATTTCTTCAGTATTGTGTAAGGATACAGGCTCATGTCTACATACTCTATTTTTCTCTAAGTATATAAATACTCAATTATTAGGAAAAATATTTTGGTTAAAAGTACACTTAAATAAAACAGCATGGTTGATAATTAGTTAGAATTATACAAACTTTTCTCTCTTTTTTTCCAGATTATTATGGGAATATTTTGGTAAAAATGGAAAATAATATAATATTTTTTTTCAAGATTAATACTAGAGATGCAGTAAAGCTACATGTATGGCTAAGTGATACAACAAAAACATTATTTATGCTGGGTACATCAGGTGAAATATATCTCCTGAATGCTTTCAACAATGGCACAATACAAGCACTGGAATATCCCTTAAATCTGGAAATACAAAGTATAGCTTTTAAAACAGAAGATACATGCCCATACTTGGCATTTCATAATAATATTTTTCGTCGATTTTACATTTTGGACAAGAGAGATATCCTGAGACTTTGGGCTCAAATAGTCTATCCAGAAAATATTGGTCTGTATATTATTCTGGAAACTTATGGCCCACAAATATTAGAGATAAAAGAACACCTTCACTATGAAATTGCCTTAGGATACAGCATTAAAACTATGGTAAGTTAATACTTTAAGTTCATTTGATTTTAATAATAATAAAAGAATAATAATTATATTTTTATCAACAGATTTCCCTTATAGGTTTAACTGAGAAAATTAAGAAATGTGTGAGTTTTGAATAAATTACAATATGGTAAGCCATTAATTCCTGATCCACAATTTTCACTTTCAATATCCAAGGCCCCCTTGCCATCCAAAAACTTAGTATTTCAGAACTCTTAGATTCCACTTGTATTGTTTGCTCTGTCTTCATCTGTTTTCTGTTGACATGGATAATTTATAGAAAACAGAGGGTTATTCGGCATACAGTTCGGGAGGCTGGCAGGTGTAAGAACACGGCATTGGTATCTGGTGAGGGTCTTTCCACTGCATCGTAGCACAGCGGAGGGCATCCCGTGGTGAGACACAGCAGGCAGCCTGCGCAGATCTCTCTTCTAAAGCCACTCGTGCCATCGTGGGGACCCCATCTCCTTCTGACCTCATCTAGTGCTAATTACCTCCCAAAGGCCCCGCCGCAGATACTGTCAGCATGTGAGCTTGGGGATTAGGCTTCCAACTCGTGAGCTTTTCGGGGACACATTCAAACCACAACAACTTCTTTTTCAATGTGCAGCTTTTCAGTCGAGTGCTGGTATCTATTATAGTATAAAAAGTCGCCTCAAAACCTAAGGGCTTCAAACAAAATCCACTTCTCTGGGTCAACAATTTGTGCTCTGAGTAGTGAAGTAGTTCCGCTTGCTTTATCGGGGTTCACTCATGTGGCTTTGATCACCTAGTGGTTCATCTATAAATACATGGTATAAAATGTGCTCATTTACATGTCACGTTGGTGCTAGCATTGGGTTACAGATCTAAAAGGCCTCTCTCTGCTCCGTGTGCAGAAGGTCTAGCCTGGAAGATAGATCTAGCTTCTGTTCATTGCAGTCTCAATCTGCAATGTAAGAGCAAAAGCTGCAAGGCCCCTTGAGGCCTAGGTTTGGCCACATTCTATTGGTCAAATCAGATCACAAGACCAGCCCTGATGCACAGGATGGCAAGACAGACTCCCTCTTATGGAGATACAGCAAAGTTACACTGCCAACAGACATGCATACAAGAAAGAGAGGAATTATTGTAGCCATCTTTGCAAGCAGTCCATCATAACAGATATAAACAGTCAAAAACTACACACATTATTTTATATATTGCTTTTCTATTTTTAAGACTTATTTATTTATTTAAAAGGCAGAGTTATAGGGAGAGAGGGAAAGAAAGAGAGAAGTCTTCCATCCACTGGTTCACTCCTCCAGATGGCCACAAGAGTCAGGGCTGGGCTTGGCTGAAGTCAGGAACCAGGAGCTTCTTCCAGATCTCCCATGTGGGAGACCACTGCTTTCCCAGGCCATTAGTAGGGTGCTAGATCAGAAATGGAGCGGCCAAGACTTGAATGGACACCTATATGGGATGCCAGTGTCATAGGTGAGGGTCTAACTTCCTACACCACAATGCCGGCCCCTATATATTACTTTTCTAGTCAATATTATAATATGAACAGTTTACATGTGACTTCCATTTCTTAAAAAAGATTGTGTAACCCAAGTGGCAGTTTCTATCCCCTCTTTCTCCCTTATTGTTTCAACCTACTTAAACTTATACAAGGAGACGTAAAAGTTCATGGAAAAATAAAATTAAAATATAAGCTTATTTTAGTTCAATAAATGTTGAAATGCATGCATATTAGAGGTTTTCAAAATCTTTAAATAAATTATGCATGGATTTGAAATATTTTTGCACCAAAATTAACTCATTTTTAAATTCCATTTAATATGAACTTCAAAAATGCCATCATAGTGGGCCTCTTATCTGATATGGAACAGAGGGAAGAGTTGAGTCACTTCCAAAGTCAGTTAAAGCAGAGAATCATAAAAAGTAAAACTGCTAAGTAAAACATTTTACTTTAACTTAGATAAATGAATGTATATCTCTTGGTGTTTTTTAATTAAAACAGACAACAGAATTCATGTGTTTCAAAGATACAGTTCTAAGAACATAATATCCCCCTCCCTCCTAGTCAGTGTTGTAACATAGACCAAAGCCTCTTTGAAATAAGACCATTTAGTATACCTCCTCATCTCCTTTCTTGCACAGCCTTATCCATGAAATCATCTGAGTTTCTCTTTCAAATTTTCTTTGAAATGAAAAGCTGTTCAACTTCACTGATATAAATTTAAAAATCACAAAATCATTAAAACTGTTGTAGTATGTCATTCCTATCAGTTTCTTTAACAAATATTTAACACAATGTTTGACAAACCCCTATATTTGTAGCAAAACAGACACACAGACATTTCTGTTGTTGTAGCTTTTGTTTTGATTTTTAAAATTTTCTGTCCCACATAGAAGGAGGGAGCACATGCAGTACTTGTCTTTCTTGTGTCTGGTTTCCTTCACCCAACCTTGCTGTCCTTTCAGTCTCTTGGAGATAAAAGGGAGCAAGGGAAAGCATGAGGACACGCCACGTACTGTAGTATTGCGGGACTTCTCTTGTAGGACCTCAACCCTCAAGGTCATGAGTGGGACTAAGAGGGTGGAAACTTAATCCAGCCTTCCAGGAGGTCTGTGGGGCCCTGGGGGCATGCTAGGCGAAGCAGTTCTCTTGAGAAGTTTGTTCTGAAGTCTGAGTCCGGTCGCCCACTCCCCTTTCTGGCCTTACCGTATGATCCTTCCCCTACACACACTCTGCCATTGCTATCGCCAGCCTCACCAGATGCCAAACCAATGGGGCCATTTGATGTTAGACTCAAATGTCCAAAACTGTCAGCCAAATAAGTCATTTCTCATCATAAATGTGGTTGCCTCAGGTATTTTGTTGTAGTGATGAAAAATTGGCTAAAACACAAAGAAATTGAAGTTCTAGATGTTTGTAGTTTGTATCTAGTATTTAAAAAAAAGATTTATTCTATTCATTTGAAAGGCAGAGTTACATAGAAAGAGGGAAAGGGGGGAGGGCCAGCACCATGGAGCAGTAGGTTAATCCTCCGCCTCTGGTGCCGGCATCCCATGTGGACGCCGGTTCTAGTCCCAGCTGCCCCTCATCCAATCCAGCTCTCTGCTGTGGCCTGGAAAAGCAGTGGAGGATGGCCCAAGTCCTTAGGCCCCCGAACCCGCGTGGGAGACCGGGAGGAGGCACCTGGCTCTTAGCTTCGGATCGGTGCAGCTCCGGCCTTTACGGTCATTTTGGGAGTGAACCAATGGAAGGAAGACCTTTCTGTCTGTATCTCCCTCTCACTGTCTGTAACTCTACCTCTCAAATAAATAAATAAAAATAAAAATCTTTATTAAAAAAAAAAAAAGAGGGAGAGAGGAAGGGGGGATCTTCCATCCGCTGGTTCACTCTCCAAATGGCCACAATGGTGAGAACTGAGCCAGGCAGACACCAGAAGCCAGCAGCTCCATTCTGGTCTCCCACATGGGTGCAAGGGTCCAGGACTTTTGGCTATCCTCTGGTAGCTTCCCAGGTGCATTAGCAGGGAGCTGAGTCAGAAGCAGAGCAGCCAGGACTCAAACCAATGCTCCAACATGGAATGCCTGCTTTGCAAGTGGCAACTTGCAGCTTAATTCACTGCGCCACAGTGCCAGCCCCTGTAATCCTTTTAAAATTTCAAGGAGGAGGGGCCGGCGCCTTGGGTCACTAGGCTAATCCTCCACCTTGCAGTGCCAGCACACCGGGTTCTAGTCCCGGTCGGGGCGCCAGATTCTGTCCCAGTTGCCCCTCTTCCAGGCCAGCTCTCTGCTGTGACCAGGGAGTGCAGTGGAGGATGGCCCAAGTACTTGGGCCCTGCACCCCATGGGAGACCAGGATAAGTACCTGGCTCCTGCCATCGGATCAGCGCGGTGTGCCGGCTGCAGTGCGCCAGCCGTGGTGGCCATTGGAGGGTGAACCAACGGCAAAGGAAGACCTTTCTCTCTGTCTCTCTCTCTCTCTCACTGTCCACTCTGCCTGTCAAAAAAATAAAAAAATTTTAAAAAAATTTTTCAAGGAGGAGGGCGGCACCGTGGCTCACTAGGCTAATCCTCCGCCTGCGCTGGCACACCGGGTTCTAGTCCCAGTTGAGATTCTGTCCCAGTTGCTCCTCTTCCAGTCCAGCTCTCTGCTGTGGCCCGGGAGGGCAGTGGAGGATGGCCCAAGTGCTTGGGTCCCTGCACCCACATGGGAGACCAGGAGGAAGCACCTGGCTCCTGGCTTTGGATCAGCATGGTACACCAGCCACAGCGTGCCAGCCACAGCAGCCATTGGAGGGTGAACCAATGGAAAAAGGAAGACCTTTCTCTCTGTCTCTCTCACCGCGGCTCACTAGGCTAATACTCTGCCTTGCGGTGCTGGCACACCGGGTTCTAGTCCCGGTCGGGGCGCCGGATTCTGTCCCGGTTGCCCCTCTTCCAGGCCAGCTCTCTGCTGTGGCCAGGGAGTTCAGTGGAGGATGGCCCAAGTGCTTGGGCCCTGCACCCCATGGGAGACCAGGAGAAGTACCTGGCTCCTGCCATCGGATCAGCATGGTGCGCTGGCCGCAGCACGCCAGCCACAGCGGCCATTGGAGGGTGAACCAACGGCAAAGGAAGACCTTTCTCTCTGTCTCTCTCTCTCACTGTCCACTCTGCCTATCACAAAAATAAATAAATAAATAGAGATAATATAATCTAAAAACAAATAAAAACTGATAAGCGAATAAAGTGAAATTACTGGAAAAGAGAGCAATATATGCAATTAAGTGAGTTACTGTGTACCAGCAAAATAAAAATTTTTTTCAAGGAGGAAATAAAAAGGTAAGGCTATTAAAAAACAGAATAAAGTTTTCCAAGCTCAGGAAATAAATGAAAAATAAAAATAGGAATATTGTAGAGAAAAAAGATGGGGGAGAGAAGCAATATTAATTTTAAAATATAAAATCAAAAGAAAAAACCAAAAATGTAATAATTGGGACTTGTGAAATAGAAAAAAATTTGGGGAAATGCTAAATATATTGTTTCTGTGACCTAGAGATTTTTAAAATTTTATTTATTTGAGAGACAGAACTAGATAGAGAGCTCCCACTCACTGGTTCATTTCCCAGTTGCCCACAATGACAGTAACATCATCCAGGTCTCCTATGTGGGTGGCAGGGATCTAACTACTTGATACATCATTGCTGCCTCCCAGGGTCCACATTAGCAGGAGGCTAGAATCAGGAACCAGTACCAGGCATGGAACTCAAATTCTGCAGGATGGGACGCAGGCATCCTAATTGGGGTTTTAACTGCTAGACTGCACACCTATTCCTTAAAGAAAGATCTAAATCAGTCTTGAGAGTGTAGTGTTCTAGGAGAGTTTGGATGACGGTGATCAACATTATGACACAGCCAAATGAAGGCGTTTTATGTGCCTGGATATGGAAAGCCAATTGCTGCTACAGTGGGCTCCTGGCTCCCAGTTTCCCTCCTTTACATAAACTTTTCCATTTTCCTTTTCAGGCGTTAGTGTTTTCTCAGAGTATAAACTATGAGGCAGTAGATGATTACTTCAAGCTGCAGTAAGTATGGCTTTTTAAAGGAACTTGGTATTAAATATAATGCCCAGATTATTAATTTGTAGGTATTCTTTTATTTAAATGTTAAGCCTCATATCCTTTTAACTATCCAAATCCCAATGTTGTTTAATGTTTGGAATACATGAAATTAGTATTTAAATGTATGAAATTGTAAAAAATTCTTGTAGTTCAATGGAAATGTGATCTATCTGAAGGTTCTCATTCATTCCAAAGATATTTTTTAAAAAAGGACTGTTAATTTAAGAATATTCAAGCATGTTTTATCACTAGTTACCATCTCAAAGTCTCTTCATACTGTCTTTATGAAAAGGAAGAACTCTGTTATCACAGAAAGTCTTTAACCTGAGTAGAATCACATGAAACACCGTCTTTGACTCTTGGGTAATATAGCACTTAAGCATTTAACTTCTGTAGGAAGACAACCAACTTGGAATTCTATTTGAAAGTGCTTTTATGAGCCGGCGCCGCGGCTCACTAGGCTAATCCTCCACCTTGCGGCGCCGGCACACCGGGTTCTAGTCCCGGTCGGGGCTCCGGATTCTGTCCCAGTTGCCCCTCTTCCAGGCCAGCTCTCTGCTGTGGCCAGGGAGTGCAGTGGAGGATGGCCCAAGTGCTTGGGCCCTGCACCCCATGGGAGACCAGGAGAAGCACCTGGCTCCTGCCTTTGGATCAGTGCGGTGCGCCGGCCGCAGTGCACCAGCCGTGGCGGCCATTGGAGGGTGAACCAATGGCAAAGGAAGACCTTTCTCTCTGTCTCTCTCTCTCACTGTCCACTCTGCCTGTCAAAAAAAAAAGTGATTTTATGGTTAACAAGTTTATTTGCTGAAAAATAGTATGTTTTCTATGAAAATGTCCATTTTTCTTTAGTCTGCTTCTAATGTAAATGACTGAGTACCTGCTGTATACCAAACATTTTCAAGGTGCTCAAAACAACATGGTAAACAAGAAGGATGAAGTTCTGGTGTCTTGGAAAAGACAAACCTGCAAATAATCAGATAGACTAAATCCCTCCTAATACTTATAAGTACTATTAAGAAAAAGAAAACAAGATGTGACCGTGACCAGGAAGTAGGGAGCAAATGCTGCCTTCGACAGAGTAGTCAGCAGAGGCTCCATTCAGCCCTTTCTCCTTCTCCCACCAACCTTTCTCTGTCCTTTAGCGAGTGTGTGTTCTTTTGGGTAAGTGTGGTTTTGCAATTATTTACTGAAAAGCGCGTTGCTGTAGAATGCATATCAAATTATCCAAGGTTGTGTAAGTGTGTGTGTATGTGTGTGTTTCCAAAAAGCAAAAACTTTAGCAGGCATGGGGTGTGAATCAAGCTTTTAAAACTTCTTTTGTTATTTTTGAGATTTTTTTGCCTGAGCACAAAATGATGTGTGTGCACTTGCTAATCAAGAGCAGCATCTGTTGGGCCAGCGCTGTGGCTCACTAGGCTAATCCCCCGCCTGCAGCGCCAGCACCCAGGGGTTCTAGTCCCGGTCAGGGCGCCGGATTCTGTCCCGGTTGCCCCTCTTCCAGGCCAGCTCTCTGCTGTGGCCCGGGAGTGCAGTGGAGGATGGCCCAGGTGCTTGGGCCCTGCACCTCATGGGAGACCAGGAGAAGCACCTGGCTCCTGCCATGGAATCAGCGCGGTGCGCCAGCCGCAGCGCGCTGGCCGCAGCGCACCGGCCACGGCGGCCATTGGAGGGTGAACCAAAGGCAAAGGAAGACCTTTCTCTCTGTCTCTCTCTCTCTCACTATCCACTCTGCCTGTCAAAAATAAATAAATAAATAAATAAAAATTAAAAAAAAAAAGAACAGCATCTGTCTGATTGCTCCAGTTTGGATGTGATTTTAAGTGTCTTCCAGGAGTTCATGTGCTAAAAGCTTGGTCACCAATGTGGCAATGTTGAGAGGTGATAAAACCTTTCTTAGAAGTGATAAAACCTTTTTCAGGAAGGTAATTAGGTTATTGAGGGCACTGCCCTTGGAAGGGATTCGTGGAGTTCTGGCAAGATTCCAGTTCTTACGAAAACCGGTCATTGTAAAGGGAGGCCACTCCTTGAGCTGAGTCCCTTCTGTGTGCACTTGTTTCCCTTCCTCCTTCTCTGACCTGTGTAGCCAGTCAGGGTGGTCCTTACCAGAACTGAGCAGATGCTGATGCCATGCTCTTGAACCTCCAAAACTGCGAGCTAAATACACGTCTTTTCTTGGTAACTACCCAGCTTTAGATATTTTGTTAAAGCAGCAGCAAACAGACAAGTGCCTTGATCTACCTTTGGATACTAGTCATACTATGCTGCTAATGTGGTTCTGGAAACTGACTTCATGACTTACTCTATATTGTTCAAAAGGTGTTATCAATAGGAGGGGGAGAATGTGTAAGTACTAGGGGGGACCCTTGCAACACTACCAGGAAGTAAGCAGCTCAAGACGCGAGCAGCAGAACCCCATCATCTGAAACTAAGGGTGTGAATAAAGTAGGAATATTGAAACACTGACAGGATGCTCATTGCTGTATTGCTGTTTTCTACTACCAGCCCTACAGTGGCCCAAACATGGACTATCGTGAGGTGGAAGCAGCTTTCCAACATGAGCACAATGCAGAACTGCCTTAGCAGAAGCAGCGAGAAGTCCCCACCAGCACCACCCGCCACGCCCCCTAGCTTTCTCACTGAGGTTCAAACTCACCATCCACACAGGACTTCTCCTTCATCAGGCCTTACCTCTCTCGTGGTTCTATACTAACCTCCATGAGTTGTTTTTTTTTTTTTTTTTCTAGAAACGACAACACAGGTTCTGTGCTTGTTAACCTTCGACCCAGTGAATATTCAAAAATGTGCCCAGCATCCCACTGGGTAAGTGAAATAGGTTGAAGATCAAAAAATTTACTTAAGAAATAATGTGTAAGTGGTAAACTAAATAATACATATAACCTCCACATAATACCACTCCCTTGTTACGTAGCAACACTTAATAATGCTTTACTGTAAAAATAACACTATTTTATTTTAAATACAGAAGATGAGATTTCTGCCTTATTATCTACACAGTGGGATATACATGTAAATTTGTACAAAAATGTAAAATTACAAGGTTTTGAATACACATAAAACTGTAAAGGAAAACTAAAATCAATGGGAAAAACTAAAATTGAATATGGTTTGTCAAGTAAGACTGCCAGTCATGTTCATATTTATCCTGCATTTATTCATTCAAAAGACTCAATCACTTACTCATTCAAAAAGCTTAAGAGAGAGAGTGTGATTTACACAGTTATCAACCAGCTCGGAGGGAGGCGTGGGCGTTTAGCATGGTGGTTAAGACGTCTGCCCCATATCGGGGCACCTGGGTTCAAGTCCTGACTTGCGCTTGGTTCCAGCTTTGTGCTTATGCGGACTCTGGGACTCAGCAGTGATGGCTCAAGTATCTGAGTCCCTGCCACTCACACAGGAGACCTGGATTCAGCTCAAAGCTAGCCCCAGCTCCCTCCCCCTTCCCTTCCCCCTCTTCCTCCTCCTCCTCCTCCTCCTCCTTTTTATGTATTTATTTGAAAGCCAGAGTTAAGAGACAGGGAGAAACAGAGAGAGAGAGAGAGAGATAAAGGGGAGGGGGAGAGAGAGAGAGATCTGATCTTACATCCTCTGGTTCACTCCCAAAGTGGCTACAACAGCCAGGAGCCAGGAATTTGATCTGGTTCTCCCATGTGTGTGGCAGGGACCCAAGTACTTGGTCCATTTTCCTCTGATTTCCCAGGTGCATTAGCACTGACCTGGATTGGAAGAGGAGCAGCCTGGATTTGAACCAGCACCCATATGGATGCCATCATTGCAGGCATCAGCTTTACCTGCTATGCCACAATGGCTGGCCCCAAGGCCGATGCTTCTAATCTGAGTTCCCATCCAAGCCCTACCACTCACTGGCTTGAATACTCTTGAGTCTCTGCTGCCTCGTTTGTAAAAGGGGAGAAATATAGCATCTATCTTGTAGGATTGTTGAGAGTATTAAATGGAATCGTTTGAAGAAAGTCCCCAAAACAGTGCCTATTACAGAGTAGTTACTCAGTGTTGCTGGTTTTGTCCTTTTTCTATCCTCTTGGCCCTCCTCCCACTCCCTGGCAAGGATGTTTCAAATCTAGCCACCTGCTGAGCCACTGCAGATAGTAGTGCTGACTTGCTCACTGAAATAAAATGGAAAAATGTGCGAAAGTCCTATAGGTAACAGGAAAATATGACCTTGTGGAGGTAAGTCCTCTAGTTAGTTAAGGCAGTCAAAACACAGCTACAAAGTTCACTCAACCCCAGTGTCCATTCTTGAGGCTCCCATACTCATGAGTAAGCAAGCCATCAGCCACACAGCTAAATATCAGACACAGGCCCAGCTCTGTATGGACTCGGAACTATGGCTCACAAAATTCCTTTCCAGTTGATTGAAGCTTGACCCTTGTTCAACCTGCTAGACCAGGTGGACATGGACTGACCCACTGGAATAGGAAGGAGCCTGTCATCTTTGTCACTTTGTCCTCTGAGCCAAGCAGCAGAGCACCAACAAAACTAGCACTCCACAAGGCTGCATCCCACTTTTTAAGCAAATGCCAAGGACCAGAAAAGCAGAAATGCAGGGCAGACCCCCAGAGGGCCACGGTAATTCCTTCCAGGATGAAATTTCCAAAGGGAGAGAAAACTACAACTCTGTCTCATGCATTCTGATCAGTTGTTCTGTTCCCTTATCTGTATCTGACTCGAAGCTGAGGCAGGAGCAATCCTACCTTACTTCTGCATGGAAGATAAGTGTTTCCATTTATACTGAATGTTAGAATTCCCTCTAACTGAATCTCTGGACCTGGGGAACAAGTAGCAGCAGCGGCGGGTACCCTAGCAAAAGGGCTTAGTCATGCTCACCACACACTGTACCTGCAGCTGCTTTTCAAGGTCCACCTGCAGGTCAACTCATATTTCTCATTCTGGCCATGGTTGTTGATTCTTACACTTAGGGTTACTTTTAACTAGCACCAAGGAGGGAAGCAATATTACAGATGAGACCACCAAGTGATGATAGGTCTTCAGCATGCTAGATTTGAGGAACTTAGTCAACCTTGTGTGTTACGAAAATAATCAGTAAAAATAAAGGGAAGTTCCCTGTTTCTCAGCCTATTTGATGGGAAACTAAAGCCTGAATAATAACCGGCAGCAAGGACTTCGGATAGAATTGTTGAGAGAACAAATCAGGTCCCCGCAGGTGAGAACAGGTGACGTAGGACATAACATCAGTTAATTCCCACTGTAGAGCATGCCTTCAAGATGAAGCCCAGAAGGTCTTGGTGTAGCAGAGATGACTCTAAATCCATCAAACTTGGCTGCACATCACTCCTCTAACCCCACCCTCCTGACCCCCAAGTCCTTATAGGGTAGGGAGTAGTCAGATCTTTCCAGATTGCCTTGTGGAAATATGGAATATATCAGGACAAGTTTAGGAAAGAATGCACATGTCTTGCTCCCACTTAGAAAGACTGGTACAGAGGCAGGGTAGACAGCAGTGAGGCAGTATCCTGGAGCCAGGTAGAAATAGAACAGACATTGCAGTTGAGGGGTAACTAGGATGCTGGTTAAAAAGTCATGACTCCCTGACTTAAACACCAGTGGTTCTTAGTAGTAAATCTAAAGTATTCATTCTCTCATTTTATTTTCAAATCCTTGCTATTTCTTTTAGGCTTCCTTTCATGTTTATATAGTAATTAAGTATAGTTAGTTCCATATAACCTGTATATTATTTTTAAGCAACACATATCTCATCACTTACAGTGAGAGTTAAGATATTTGGCATTTTGCAACAATTCATTTTCCTAATAACAAAGATTTAATGAAGTAAAAGTCTTTCAACTTTAGATATAACACATTCCAGCTACTAGACACAGCCTGTCTGCAAAACTTTATTTCCATCTAATTTAATTTTTGTATGTAATACTCATTCTGCCATGTTCTTGCTGCAAACTATCCAATCTAAAGAGATGGGAAACATTGCTGCTAATGGCAGAGGTGCGTGGTGGCAGGGATGGGGGTAGGGTAAATACACTATACCCATCGCATCATACTCCAGTGGAATTGTCTTTGTTGTTTTAAGGCTAGCTTTTTGCATATCAAATGCCGTTCTTGGTCATTTCTAGTCTGAGAAACAAAATGTCATGGTACTACCTGTCTGTGTGATGCTGTTAATGGATTTTATACCTGCCTTTCTCAACTCTGTCCCAAAATTTACTTCCAGAGAATCATGGACTATGTTAGCAAAATTGGCCACAGTCCTGTGACTGACATTGCAGGCTAATTTGTGACATCCTGCATGTTGTGCTATGGGATCCACAGTTTTCAGACCACACACATATATGCATTTCTTTTAAAAAGCAATTACGGGGGCCAGCATTGTGGCATAACAGGTAAAGCCACCATCTGCAACGCCAGCATCCCATATGGGCACCAGTTCAATTTCTGGTTGTTCCACTTCTGATCCAGCTCCCTATTTAATGTTCCTGGGAAGGCAGCAGAAGATGGCCCAAGTGCTTGGGCCCTTGCAACCATGTGGGAGACGTGGAGGAAGCTTCTGGATTCTGACTTCAGACAGGCCTACTTCCTGCCATTTTGGCCATTTGGGGAGTGAACCAGTGGATGGGTGATCTCCCTGTCTCTACCTCTCTGTAGCTCTGCCTTTCAATTTAATTATTTATTTGAAAGGCAGAGTTACAGAGAGGCAGAGGCAGAGAGAGAGAGAGAAAGAGAGAGAGAGAGAGAGAGGCTTTACCTGCTATACTTCAGTGCCGGCACCAATAAATAAATCTTAAAACAAAAACAAGAACGTGATTTTTAAAAAAAAAGCAATTTAAGAAGGGCTAGCGTTGTGTTACAGTGGGTTAAGCCCAGACCCACAGCACCCACACCTCAAATGAGCACCAGTTCAAGTCCCAGATGCTTCACTTCCAATCAAGCTTCCTGCTAGTGCACCTGGGAAAGCAGTGGAAGATGACCCAAGTGCCTGGGCCCCTGCCATCCATGTGAGAAATCTGGATAGAGTTCTAGGCCCCTGGCTTTGGGCTGTTCAGCACTGTCCATTGTAACCATTTAGGGAGTGAACCAGTGAGAGAAATTTCTCTGTGTCTCTCCCTCTCGCTTTCTATAATTCTTTCAAATAAATGAATAAGTCTTTTAAAAATAAATAACAAACAGTAAAGAATAATGTTTAAAATAAGTATCCACAGAATTAGGGTAAGGGTTTAATATTTAATAGTTGGCCTGGGAACTGGCATTGTGGCACAGCGGGTTAAGGTGCTGCTTTTGACACCAATTTCCCGTATCAGAGCACTGGTCCGAGTTCCAGCTGCTCTGCTTCCAATCCTGCTCCCTGCTAATGCACCTTGGAAAGCAGCAGAAAATGGATCGAGTGCTTGGGTCCCTGCCACCCATGTGGGAGACCAGGTTGGAGTTCCAGGCTCCTGTCCTTGGCCTGGCCTATCCCCAGCCATTTGGGGAGTGAACTAGCAGGAAAATCTCTTTCTTTTCTCTCTTTCTCTCTCTCCCCTCTCTGTCATTTTGCTTTTCAAATAAAATAAATATTTTTTAAAAAATGCCAGCACTGTGGCATAGCGGGTAAAACTGCCACCTGCAGTGCCGGCATCCCATATGGGTGCCAGTTCAAGGCCCAGCTGTTCCACTTCCAATCCAGCTCTCTGCTGTGGCCTGGGAAAGCAGTAGAAGATGGCCCAAGTCCTTGGACCCCTGCACCCACGTGGGAGACCCAGAAGAAGCTCCTGGCTCCTGGCTTCAGATCATTGCAACTCTGGCCATTGTGGCCAGTTGAGGAGTGAACCAGCATATGGAAGACTTCTCTCTCTCTCTCTTGCTCTCTCTTTATCTCTCTCTCTCTCTCTACCTCTCTGCCTCTCATCTCTCTCTGTGTAACTCTGACTTTCAAGTAAATAAATAGAGTTTTGAAAAAATAGGGGGCAGTGCTGTGGCATAGTGGGTTAAGTCTCTGCCTGTGGTGCTGGCATCACATATGGGCACTGGTTCTAGCCCTAGCTGCTCCTCTTCCAATCAGCTCTCTGCTATGTCCTAGGAAAGCAGTAGAAGGTGGCCCAGGTGCTTGGGCCCCTGCACTGTTGTGGGAGACTTGGAACAAGCGCCTGGCTCCTGGCTTCAGATCAGCCCAGCTCCTTCCATTGAGGCCATGTGGGAACTGAACCAGTGGATGGTAGACCTTTCTGTCTGTCTCTCCCTCTCATTGTCTGTAACTCTACCTCTCGAATAAATAAATAAATAAATAAATAAATAAATAAAGCTTAAAAAAAAAGTTGGCCTATTTCCAGGGCTCTTATGAATACTGAGTGTTGCCATTTAAAGTAGGAATAAAAGTAAGATGCTATTTTATGTGATGTTACTCAAGACCCTAATTTAGTACTGGTCTACTAAAATGGAAAAAAAAAAGTCAGATTGGTTGCTAGATATGTCATAGAAACCTGCCCACTGAGTCAGGGGTGCAAGCCAGAAGGATGGAGTTGGTAGTCATGGTTGTAGAGATGAAGGGAAATGAGATTCAAATGATTCCCCAGGATACTGCCCTAAGCAAGCAGAGAACAACCCTTAGGCCTCCTGAGTGATTAAGATGAAAGCAAGCAAGCAAAGGGCAAAGCTGATCAAAGAGGAAGGAGGAGAACAGCCCTAAGCAGTAGAGCAGAGCCTTACATTTAAAAGGTCATTGTAGGTGAGCATCTCTAATGTAAAAATGTGACCCAAGTACTTGAACATCTGAAACTTTGTGAGTGCCAGCAAAATACTACAAGGGGAAAATTGTGCACCTATCTTCATGTGATAGATCATAGTAAAAATGCAGGTGCATTTTGCATAAAATTCCCTTCTGCCAGGGACAGCAGGTTAAGCTGCTGCATGGGATGCCCTCCAGACTTCAAGTAAGCTTCTTGCTAAGGCACCTAGGAGGCAGTGGATAATGGAGTGACCAGGTAGTTTTCATTTCTGCAACCCACATGAGAGACTCTGATGGAGTCCCTGGCTCTTGGCTTCTTCCTGGCCTAGCTCTGGCTATTGTGAGCCTTTGGGGAGTGAACTAGTGGCTGAAAGATTAATCAATCTCTCTCTCTGTCTCTCTCTCTCTGCCTTTCAAATAAATAAATACTTTTTAAAACTTACATCTGCCTGTGAGTATATTTTTAAAAAATTACCTCTGCCTATGAGTATAAGGTGTATACAAAAACATATTAATTTCATGTTTAGAGTTGGTCCTAGCCATTCCCTCATTACCTGTAAGTGTTTCAAAGCATTTGAAATACTTCTGATCCCAAGCCTTTTGGATGGGGGATGCTCAACCTGTTATTTAAGATAAAAAATATGACTATTTTTAGCTCTGGTAATGTTTTAGATCATGTGGATCTGAACCGTTAAACTCACTACCAAAACTGCTTCATTTTAGGTATTCCAAATATCTGTTGGCTGTGACATTACTAAAAGCATGATAGTCAAAGGGCAAGTATATTTCCATTTGAACTCTCCTTGTCTTTATGATTAAAACAAATGGGGAATGAAGTGTTATTCACTAATGATAATATGTTAGCCTAGTAACTGACACATCCATGGTGAAATTCAAAACTCAATTTGGAGCTGGGCATTTAGCCTAGCAGGTAAGTTTCCCATATTCCACACTGCAGTACCTAAGGTTCAATTCCTGGCTCCAGCTCCTGACTCCAGTTTCCTGCCAATGCAGACCCTGGAGGCAGCGGTGATGGTTCAAGTGATTAGGTTCCTGCTGCCCAGGTGGGAGATGTGAATTGAGCTCCTGATTTGGGCTAGGCCCAGCTCAAGTCCTGTAACAGGCATTTGCAAAGTGAACCAGTGAATCAGAGTGCTCTCTCACTCACTGACTCTCTCTCTCCCCCTCTCTCTCCCTCCCTCTCTCCTCCCTCCCCCTCTCTCTGTTTCTCCCTTCCTCCCTCCCTCTCTGCCTCTCAGACAATTCAGTTGGCATTGGTATCCAGTTTCAATTGATTTGAACCTTTGCAAAGTCAGATATTGTGTTTGAATCATACTAAAAAGTAAATAATTAACATTTTTCTCTATTACCAGTATTGTTCTCCATCTTCCCTAAAAGCTAATTTCTATCTTTTTCCATGATCTCTCCCAGCTCTTTAATTCAGAGAAAGAGGAGAAAGGAACACCTAACCTCTAATCTCCATCCTACTGAAGCCAGTTAGAATTTTTAAAATTCCATTAAAGAGTTGCTCCAGCCCACGTCAGAGAAGACTGCTTCCCGCATCATTTTCTATGGGAAATGTTTTAGAGCAAACCTGACACAACTATCAGTGGTTCCTCCTGAGAATCCCAAGGTGTGAATTTCACTGACCTCCTTATGGTTCTCAGTGAGGCACACTGGGTGCGTGACATTTGTTTGCCGTAACTCTGTTGCCTCTATGTGAGAGAATCAAGGTCAACATATGCAGACCTGTTTAGTTGACATTAAATGTGTAATGGAGGCATCCATTGGTTTTGAGTCTCTTGCATTGGTTAGAAGGCTTGAGTACCTAGAATCCAGTCCTGCTTTGCCTTCTAATCCAGCTTCCTACCAATGCACCTTGAAGGCTGCGGATCATGACCCAGTATTTGGGTTCTTGCCACCCATATAGGAGACTCAGATGGAGTTCTGGCCTCCTGGCTTTGGCCGGGCACAGCCCTGAATGTTGCATTTGGGGAGTAAGCCAGCAGGAGGAAGGAAGATCTCTCTCCGTGTCTGTCTCTCCTTTTCTCTGTTACTCTGCCTTTCAAATATATAAATCATTTTTCAAAAAAAAAAAAAACACACAAACTATATAGAATATCAGGCTTCATTCTTTTTCTGAGTCAGAATTTTAACAAAATTTGACAAAAAGGAGATTAGTAGGCACATAAAAGTTTAAGAGTAACTTGTGTTTCAAAAGTTTACGTGGGGCCGGCGCCGCGGCTCACTAGGCTAATCCTCTGCCTGCAGCACCGGTACCCCGGGTTCTAGTCCCGGTTGGGGTGCCGGGTTCTGTCCCGGTTGCTCCTCTTCCAGGCCAGCTCTCTGCTGTGGCCCGGGAGTGCAGTGGAGGATGGCCCAGGTGCTTGGGCCCTGCACCTGCGTGGGAGACCAGGAGGAAGCCCCTGGCTCCTGGCTTTAGATTGGTGCAGCGCCCCGGCCGTAGCGGCCATTTGTGGGGGTGAACCAACGGCAAAGGAAGACCTTTCTCTCTGTCTCTCTCTCTCACTGTCTAACTCTGCCTGTCAAAAAATAAAAAAATAAAATAAAAAGTTTATGTGGAATAAAATTACCTGAAGAAATTTATCTTCATTTTGATAGACTTTTCAATTAAGTTATTGTGTGTGTGTGTTTGTGTATGTGTTATCATGGTAACTTCTTGAAATTTTTGAAAAATTTACATAATATAATTTTTTTGACAGGCAGAGTGGACAGTGAGAGAGAGAGAGAGACAGAGAGAAAGGTCTTCCTTTTTCCATTGGTTCACCCTCCAATGGCCGCTGCAGCAGGCGCACTGGGCTGATCCGAAGCCTGGAGCCAGGTGCTTCTCCTGGTCTCCCATGCGGCTGCAGGGCCCAAGGACTTGGGCCATCCTCCACTGCACTCCCGGGCCATAGCAGAGAGCTGGACAGGAAGAGGAGCAATTGGGACAGAATCCAGTGCTCCGACCGGGACTAGAACCCGGTGTGCCGGCGCCACAGGCGGAGGATTAGCCTGTTGAGCCACGGCGCTGGCCAAAAATTTACATAATATAAATTTACCATTTAAACCACTTTAAAATGCTCAGGGGCATTAAGTAAATTCATAATGCTGTACAGCTAGCACCACTCTCTAGTTCCAAAATATTTTCATTGCCCCAAAAGGAAACTCCATACCTAGTAAGCAGTTACTCCCCATTCTCCCCTCTCCCAGCCCCTGGCAACTACTCAGCTGCTGTCTATAGATTGGCCAGCTCTAGATATTTCACATGACTGGAATCATACTATATATGGCTTTTTGTGTCTGGCCTCTTTCAGTTGGCATGTTTTTGAGGTTCACTAATGTTGTAGCATGTATCAATGCTTCATTCCTTTTTATGACTGAATAAAATTCCTTTGTATGGGATGTGCCATATTTTCTTCATCCACTTATCAGTTCACGTATATTTGCAATGTTTCCACTTTTTGTTTTTTGTGAATGGTTTTGGTGTGAATATTGTGACCCAGTTTTTGTTGAAATATCTGCTTTCAATTATTTTAGGTAAATACATAGGAGCAGAATTTTATGTAGGTATATAGGAGTAGACTGAGTCATGTGGACATCCTATGTTTAATTTATGGAGGAACAACCATTTTTTAGCATTTTTCAAGAATACATTGTTATATTGTTAACTATTGTCACCACATGGTACAGTAGATCTCTTGAGTTTATTGCTATCTAACTGAAATTTTGTATTCTTTGACCAATTTTCTCCAACCTCCTAATTTTCTATAAATTTTTAATAAACATGTATCAAATATAAGAGATAATGTTTCTGATGCTTTCAGAAACATTTGTACAGCTGATTTTTTTTAAAATAGAAATGCTAGGGTCACACACTGACCACAGAGATTCTAATTCAGTAAATAATGATTTTGTTATAATATCTATTTTGAAAAATCACTGTTAAGTTTGTTTAAATATATAAGGAATTATAACTTCATTATGTTTTTTTACAGATCTAGTAAAAACAGCTGTATTCCCTATGATTTTTCTTATGTGATTGACAAGTAAGAAATAGTATTTAACATAAACACTAAGTTTTATATTAATGTAATAATAATAATTTATGGTTAATACTTTCTGAAATCTTGTTAGAATCCATATATGTTTAGCTTGACATTGTACAGTTTTAGCATTAAATAAAATGTGTTAGCTCTATAATTACCTCATTGGAAACATACAAGAGAAAGAATCATAATATTCTCCTTCAGTTTAATTGTTTTTTTCAAAAAGGCTCATTTACCTATTTGTAGTCTCAAATTCCCACCATAAGAAAGACTTGAGAACATTTTTTCCTCCCTAGTTTTTCTCTAATGCTACATGACTGCAGTTAAAGTTATGGATTTACCAGGAAAATTTTGACATCATTCTACTAAGTAAATTTGATGCTACATTTTGCATTTAATTTTATGAGTACTTAAATAATATGTTTATTATTAAAGAGTAACTAAACAAAATGTGACTTTTATCTTTACTTTAAAAATTTTAAATTGATTACGCTGTCAAAAGTGTGGAACCCCATACCTCTAAACTGTTCATAAGAGCTTTGGAAAAGCTATGAAATTTTCTAATTCTGTTTCATTAAAATTAGGGAAAGAATGTTGAGCCAGTAGACGTATCCGTTAAGTAGCTGTGTTAACTGCCATGGAAGTCAGGAAGGGAGGGGCGGGGAGCCCACATCCTCCAGGTTGCCGGGCTCGCCACCGACCGAAGGCAGTCAGTGAAATGAAATAGGTGAGGAGAAAACGTTTAACAGTCGGTGATGACGCTGCCTTTTGGTGGCTGAGTGGCAGCTGAACCTGAAAGATAAGAATATAAAATAGGCTGGATCCCTGGGGTGTCAATTCCTTGAGCATGGTGAGGTATGTGGCTGGTGACGGTGATCCAGGTTTGAGGACTGACAAGACTGGAAATCTGTGGGAGAGGGTGCTTTTGAGAGAATATACCTTTGGGTTCATGAAGAAGATGGATTCTGTTAAGGAATCTAAGTCAGGAAGTAGCTGAAGTTTAAAAATACACATCTATACACATTGATTCTGAAGCACCTTTTTCCTTCATCTATTAATATCCTGGGAAGAAGTACAGTAAAATAGCACACTGAGCGTGAGCGTTATAACCGCTCATCCTTCCCAGTAGTATAGGAATGCTTGTCGTCTTAAACAAGTGTCATACAATCTCTGAGAATGGCGCCATAGCTGCAGAAGGAGGACAAGAATGCACAGCTGGTTGTTGTACACATGCATTCGTGTGTGTGAAGTTACCAGAAACTTAGTAAGCACTCAGTATTTTATAATTACATTCATCGGTCTGACTCGTGATACCTCCTTACCTCTAAATAAAGTCACACTGTTTTTAAGTTTGGAAAGATGAAGTTTATCATGAAAAAAATGTCCTTTTTTTGCAGGTCATATCTGAGGGGTCAACCATCTAAAAATTTGGTAAGAAAACTGTAATTTTAGGGGCTGGCACTGTGGCATAGCAGTTAAAGCCTCTGCCTGCAGTGCTGGCACCCCATATGGGCACCGGTTCTAGTCCTGGCTGCTCCACTTCCAATCCAGCTCTCTGCTGTGGCCTGGGAAAGCAGTGGAAGATGCCCCGCCAAGTCCTTGAGCCCCTGCACCCACATGGGAGACCCAGAAGAAGCTCCTGACCTCCTGACTTCAGATCAGCCCAGCTCCACCCTGCTGCGGCCATTTGGGAAATCAAACAGCAGACGGAGGAAATCTCTCTGTCTGTCTCTGTCTCTGTCTCTCTCTCTTTCTCTCTCTCTGCCTCTGCCTCTGCCACTCTGTAATTCCACCATTTCAAATAGATGAATAAATCTTAAAAAAAAAGAAAGAAAACTGTAATTTTGTCCATGGGTCAATTGTGTAAAACAACTAAAACAACTTTTCCTTTTCTAGGAAGTAAAATATAACTGGGATGTCTATGGCTGTCCTGTGAGGCTGCATGTCTCTGAGAAGTTTCAACCTGTGCTTCAGTTGTAAGTATATTCTCATATTTTTTAATTTATTTCAAAAGTTTCAAAATAAAAATGAGAACAAGACAAATTACTCATGAATTTAATCATAAAACTATTTTGAGTGCTCAGCATTTGCAAGATTTATTTTTTAAAAATTATCTTATTTCAGCCGGTGCTGCAGCTCACTAGGCTAATCCTCCACCTGCGGCACCAGTACCCCGGGTTCTAGTCCCGGTTGGGGCGCTGGGTTCTGTCCCAGTTGCTCCTCTTCCAGTCCAGCTCTCTGCTGTGGCCCGGGAAGGCAGTGGAGGATGGCCCAAGTGCTTGGGTCCCTGCACCTGCGTAGGAGACCAGGAGGAAGCACCTGGCTCCTGGCTTCGGGTCAGCGCATTGCCCTGGCCGTGGTGGCCATCTGAGGGGTGAACCAACGGAAGGAAGACCTTTCTCTCTGTCTCTCTCTCTCTCTCTTACTGTCTAACTCTGCCTGTCAAAAAAAAAAATTATCTTATTTCTTCAAAGTCAGATTACAGAGAGAGAGAGAGAGATACAGAAAGACAGAGATCTTCCATCTTCTTGTTCATTTCCCAAATGGCAGTAACAGCCAGGGCTGGGCCAGGCAGAAGCAAGAAGCCAGGAGCTTCCTCCAAGTCTCCCATGTGGGTGCAGGGACCGTCAAGCACTTGGGTCATCCTTTGCTGCTTTCCCAGGTGCATTATCAGGGAGCTGGATTGGAAGTGGGGAAGCCAAGGTCTTGAACCATATGGGATGCTGGCATTGCAGGCAGTGGCTTAGCCCACTGTACCACAACACCTACTCCAAGACTTGGTTTTCAGTACTAGTTAAACATAGTCCCTGAATGTTTACGGAGTTTGCAATGGAGCAACTGAGACCTACGTGGGTGAGAGATAGAAGATCCTTCTCAGAGGTGCAGGCAGCAAACTGCTGCTCCCTTTCTCCTCTCTAGATCTCTCCCCAAGCTCCTACCAGCATTCCTACCTTTTTCATAGAAACTACTTCCCCAGGTGCCATGTGAGCTGATATTAAATGACAGCTTTTAAGGAAAGAAACTAGACTGCTGGTAAGGACATTGATGGTATTTTTAGTGTTTCATAATAATAATATGAATGAAGTGCTGTAAGGGAGGCTTTTCCAAGTAATTTTGCGTTTGCTTACTTTTCCTCTCTGATTTTATTCTTTATTCTTAGTTTATGGTTATAAAGTTACATGGCTTGTTAAAAAACTTAAAATACAAAAAAACACAAGCAACAAATGCCCCTTGTTTCCAATATTTTAGCTATTATAAATGAAATTGTGGTGAATGTTCGACTATGTTTGGACACTTGTCCAGCTGTGCTGCTAGGATTAAACACTAGAAGCGGAGTTCCCATTGTACAACACCAAAGGTTTAGTCAAGCCTTGCAGCTCTTAGGGATCTCTTGTGCTCCAATTTAGTTTTGCCACCAAAGCCCTCCCTGTTGGGATCCAGGAGGCCTCTGTCAGCATGTTCTGTTCCCCGCTGCCCCTCCCATAAGGTATAACTCTAAGATTATACCTGTGCCTTTTCCCTCTTGTGTCCTGCTCCTACAGTCCCTCTGCCGTTGTTTTCTGTGCTGTGAGAATCATCTGTCATCTTCTTTAGTTTTATCACCTTCTAGACATCTACTCATGTCAGTGTTTCTCCTGGGCACCCAAGGTTCTTTTCCTCTACTGAGGCTGATTTTTTGTTTGTTTGTTGTTTGTGTTTCTTGCATAATACTTAATCCTCCAGGAATTTTTTAAATAGTCTTTTTTATTTTTTATAAAGATTTGTTTATTTCTTTGAAAGAGTTACACAGAGAGAGAAGGAGAGGCAGAGAGAGAGAGAGAGAGAGAGAGAGAGAGGTCTTCCATCTGGTTCATTCCCCAATTGGCCTCAAAGACTGGAGCTGGGCCAACTGGAAGCCAGGAGCCAGGAGCTTCTTCCGGGTCTCCTACATGAGTGCAGGGCCCAAGGACTTGGGTCATCTTCTACTGCTTTCCCAGGCCATAGCAGAGAGCTGAATCAGAAGTGGAGCAGCCAGGACTCAAACTGGCACCCATATGGGACACTGGCACTGCTGGCAATTTTACCTGCGATGCCAGAGCACTGGCCCCAAGAGTCATTTTTTTTTTATATTTGAAAGACAAAGATACAGAGAGAGAGAGAGAGAAAGAAAGAATCTTCCATCCACTGGTTTACCAACTGCCCCAAATGGCTGCAATGGCTGGGGCTGGGCCAGGCGGAAGCCAGGAGCCAGGAGCTTCTTCCTGGACTCTTACATGGGTGTAGGGGCCTAAGAGCTTGGGCCATCTTCCTCTGCTTTCCCAGACATACTAGCAAAGAGCTGGATCAGAAGTGGAGCAGCCAGGATTTGAACTGGTGCCTATATGGGATGCTGGTGCTGCAGGTTAGCCTTCTATACCACAGTGCCCCACCCCCCACACGCCAGGAATTTTTTAAAAAATTAACGTTCTCTCTCAGAGATGTGCCAACTTCAAAGAAGCTCATCATGATTAAACACCTTTACATGAAGCACTGTGCTATCCACTGGAAATTCAAAGATAAACAGCAGGATTTGTACCCTCAAATGCTCAAGAGTCTTGTGCGTTAGATACACACATGAGCTGGTGTTCTGATTGGAATGATGGAAGGGAACAGCACGTGCATGGCTGGTGTTGAAACTCGAAGATGCCTCCCAGCTATGAAAGGAAAACGTTGCAGAAACTTGCATCTGAGCTTAGTTACGGAGTATTGAAGGATGGTGAACATTTACTTAGAGGCAGAGAAGGAAAGCAGAGCCGTGGAGAGGCCAGTGGCAGATTTCCCTGAGCGAGTCATTCAGGCAAGAATGATCTTGGGGAAGAAAATGTGTGATTCCAACAACCTGATGTTGTTAAGGGCATAAAGTGAGTTTTGAAATGTCAAGAGCAGAGCTGGGGATCTCCCAGCCAGGTGGGTGTAGTCCAGACCGTGCAAAGCTTTCCACCCATTCAGGACCCAGTGCTGGCTCCAGCTCGTTGTCTCTGGGGCAAGAATAGGGGGTGAATTTCAGGGAGCTGAGTCTAAGCAGGAAGACCAGCTAGTAATTGCATTTAGGAGGAAAACAGCACATGACTGAAACAGCAAAAAGGACGAAGAATAAAAATCATCTGTGAGAAAGATAGCGATTATAATAAGCGTGACTTGATAAGCATGTCTGAGTGCCAAGGAAAAGACAAGAGGAAGGCAGGTGAGTCAAGGGTGACATCATCAGAAGATCTCGTCCACACACCGGCACAGATTTCTCGCACCTCGTGTATCTTCAAGTATCTGTACCTGTGACCTCTGTCTGCCTCCCTGTCACTGTCAGTGAACTATCCGAGCAGCTGTCTCAGGCCTGTCACTTCATCTGTAAACTAGGGTCCACTTCCTTTCCTAATTAGCAACAAAGCTCCTTACCTCTTTCTCCTGAGTAGCTTCCTCACACTGGATCATCACGTGCAAATGCAGTTCTTTCTTTCACCAAAACAACGAATACAAAAGGCATCTGTCTCTTGACTCCACCACTCTTTGACACTCTTGCTGTTATCAACTTCTGCTGTCCCCTCCCAGTTCCCCTGCAGCCTGGCTTTTCCCTCCACCACTCCCCTGGCACTGCCAGCCAACCTGAGAAAGAAGGGGAGCGATCCCAGCCTGCCCAGCTTACTTTCTAACTTACCAGTCACGTAAGTCAGCTCCTCCTATGAAGCACGTGAGTAGCAGGGCAGAGACAGGCCGAGCGTGTTCCACACACTGAGCTGCCTCCGCCTCGCAGGCACAGTCCTCCTTAGCAATAACGTAACATCAGGAAGCATTATGCGCCAAAGATGAACCCCACCAAAGCAAAACAATATTCAAGAGGCGGTAACAAAATAGAATCTAGAAATAAGATCCAGAAAGAACATTCAGAGAAATGTAAGGACAACATACAAAGAATTATGGAGGCAGTGGGAATAGGAATTTTCCAGAGGAAAAAGGGAGATAAAGGTATCAAATTCAGAGATCTAGTAAATTAATATTGTCCACTGAATTGGACATTTGTGATCTTTCTAAAGTAGTTTCTACGAAGTGGCAAAAACAAAAGCCAGCCTGCAGTGGATCAGCAAAGTGAATTATAGGTTTGCCAATAGAGGCAAAATATAGTCTACACTTTTTCTTTTCTTTTTTCTTTTTATTCATCTGAAAAGCAGAGAGACAGAGAGTTCTTCCACCTGCTAGTTCATCCCCAAATACTTGTAACAGCTATGGCTGGGCCATGCTGAAGTCAGGAGCCTGGAACTCTACCCAAGTCTCCCATCTGAGTGGCCGGGACCCAACTAGTTGAGCCATCACCACTGCCTCCCAGAGAACATATTAACAAGAAGCCAGAATTGGAAACAGAGCCAGGACTTGAACCCAGGCACTCTGATATGGGACATGGGTATCCCAGACAGCATCTTAACCCCTGCACCAACAGCCTACCCCAGTCTATCTACCTCCATCTCTCTCTCTCTCTCTCTCTCTCTCTCTCTCTCTCTCTCTGCTATTAGCCTTTTATGTGATAGTAATATGGCAGATTGAGTTAACGTGAATCCTTCCCCACTCACAGTAGACATACACAACCTGGAATCAAACACAACAAAAAGTATTTTAAGAAGTAAAGAAGGGGGGCCACTGTTGTGGCATAGCGGGTAAAGGTGCTGCCTGCAGTGCTGGCATCCCATATGGGTGCTGGTTCTAGTCCTGGCTGCTCCACTTCTGATCCAGCTCTCTACTGTGGTCTGGGAAAGCAGCAGAAGATGGCCCAAGTCCTTGGGCCCCTGCACTGTTGTGGGAGACTTGGAAGAAGCTCCTGGCTCCTGGCTTTGGATCAGCGTAGCTCCAGCCGTTGTGGCCATCTGGAGAGTGAACCAGCAGATGGAAGACCTCTCATTCTGCCTCTGCCTCTCCCTCTCTGTAACTCTGCATTTCAAATGAATAAATAAAATCTTTTTAAAAAATAAAAGAAAGGGGCTGGCACAGTGGCATAGTAGGTTAATCCTCTGCCTGCAGCGCCAGCATCCCATATGGGCAGCCGTTCTAGTCCCGACTGCTCCACTTCCAGTCCAGCTCTCTGCTATGGCCTGGGAAAGCAGTAGAAGATGACCCAAGTCCTTGGGCCCCTGAGCCCACGTGGGAGACCAGGAAGAAGCACCTGGCTCCTGGCTTCAGATCGGCCCAGCTCCGGCCGTTGCGGCCATTTGGAGAGTGAACTAATGGAAGGAAGACTTTTCTCTCTGTCTCTCCCTTTCACCGTCTGTAACTCTAACTCTCAAATAAAATAAAATCTTAAAAAAAAAGAAAGAAAGAAAAGAAACAAGTCCCAGGCACGTGAACCAGCTGAGGATATGTCATCCCAGCTTCATCGTATTGCCAGCATTTAAAGGACAAAGGAGGTACTTGGAGGTATAGGCTCTGGATTAATTGATTTGCAGTTGTAAAGGGCTCTTGGAAGAGTCATTTATTAGCTCTAAGAATTGGTTGACCCTGAGCAGTCCCTACAGGGTCAGCAAGACTCCAGATGTTAAAACATTGGGGCACAGAAAGTAAAAGACGTGATTAATACAGTGGTCTATGCGTAAAGGTTAAACACAGTGGATTTGGAGGTCAGCAGAACTCCGTGAGTACAAAAGTAGATCTGCCATAGTGGAGAAGTTACAATTTCTTGGGGTAGTTGCCAACTAGAAAAATTTCTGAATTTCTCTAGTTGAATTGTTATCCTAGCCTACATGAAAATAAACTATGTTAATATAGGCAAATATTTTTGTCATGTATTCTCAATGAAAAAAGTAAAATAGCAAATATAAACACAGAAATTTTGTATCATGCAGTTCATCCTTTCAGCCACTAGATGACACTACAGCTCATCGCTTGTCTGAGAGTCAACCGAGGCAATGCAGCTCACATAGTTGAATTAAGATTTTTTTTTTAAAGTAAAACATGGCTTTGCAACTAGTTCTAAATAATTTAAGAATCTGATGACTTTCAAAAGGTGCAATCAAGCATCGTGCTCCTTCCAAAGCTGCTATAATTAGTTTTGCTAAACCTAACCCAAATTTTTGCAATTATATATGTAAGTGTGTGTGTGTGTGTGTGTTTGCGCGTGCCTGCCCCCACATATTTTCCTGTGGAAAGAGGGTCTGGAGCTCTCCTTAGGGTTTTACAGTTTTCTTTGGTCCTCCTCCCCCAGCAAGAACAAAATCAAGCGCCAGTATCCTGATCTCTAGCTGGGCATAGCTGTTTGAGTTCTGGCCTTGAGTTCATCTCTTTGAGATTTCTTAAAACTAATGACAATGAAACAAAATAGCTCCTTGGATACCACTTTTTGACCCTTAGGGTTTTTCTGGCTCAACTGTGAGAATGGGACAATAACTGACTTTTGTAGCCAGGATTAGATGGTAGCAAGTTGCAAAGCCAAATACAACAACTGCAGGCTGAAACAGAGATTTGGGCACTGAATAAGGAGTTGCTGTCAAGGATCTATGATTTTTATCTATGAATAGACACAGCTGTGAAGCAAGAAATTGTATCAGAAAGTGGGGCAGCAGTCCCAAGAGTCAGCAGCCTGGAAGCAAGTGTCTGAGAACAAAGTCCTAAGTGATATTTCCACCCCAGGGATACCAGAGACAAGTTCATTCAGAAAAAATGAGCAGTAACTAATAGAGAAAGAAGACATGTAACCATTTTTATAATCAGAAGTTGTAGTATGCAACGTGTGACTTTATCAGCAACTGAACTTTAGTGTTGGTCTCATGCCCTATTTTCTTATGGCAGCAGCAGGGGAAAAAAAGTAACATAAAATGCTACATCTCTTTTAGAACCCCCTGAGTTTGCGCTCAATGGGGCTTGTACCCAGTCCCAGCATCAGGGAAGGGGTCTCCTTTCCCTGCTGGACTCTGTTGGTGTCCGTTGTTGGTAGATACCATTGTCCATTCCCTGGCAACTTTGCATCCCAGCCTACCCCAGCGCTTTCCCACACTGTGGAGCCACATCTTCCAGCTGCCTCCTCCTGGGACATCTGCTGCATCAGTTCTCAGCACAGGGATTGTGCAGCTTCGCTCTGGTCCATAAGGGACCACCCGTATTTGCTGATGAAATGATACCAGGGGTCCTTGCTTTGTTCTTCCTTCCATCCTCCCTTCCTCTCTCCCTCCCAGCATCCATGACAACCTGGCCTCAGCTACTGTCACCCTAACAATATATGGTCCCTGTCAAAGTAAAGAGAACTTAGGGTTCCAACTGTTAAGGAAAGTAAGTTTTCTTCTTCACTACTACTAGTTTTTTTATTTTGAAAGCTGAATGAAATAACATGTCAAAATAGACTCATACAGTAAATACCATTATTTTACAGGTAAGAAGATTGAGGCTTAAGAGTTTAAGTAACTTCCCAAGGGTCACAAAGCTATCAAAGTGAAAAAGACAGGATTTAAACTTAAGCCCATCTGAATTGAACGCTGGAGCTCTTGACCCCTCTTGCTTTACACTAACTTTTTGTTTTCGTGTTCTCTGTGCCTTTCAGATTTAACGATAGTGGCCACATGGAAGACATTCCAGTAAATTTCTTAGTGTGGGAAATACACGGCAGGGATGACTATAGCTTTAATAACACGATGAAGCAGGTATGGCATCTTTTACATTTAAAAAGAATTTAGCATGCAGTTAGGCCCTTCTACATGTGCTGTCCTATTTCTTAAGATTTTTAAAAATATTTATTTATTTATTTGAAAGTCGGTGATATATAGAGAGAGGGAGAGACAGAGAGAAAGAGAAAAATCTTCCATCTGCTGGTTCACTGCCCAAGTGGCCGCAATGGACAGTGCTTGGCCACGCCAAAGCCAAGAGCCAGGAGGTTCATCTGGGTCTCCCACATGGGTGGCAGGGTCCCAAATGCTTGGACCATCTTCTAGTGATTTTCCCAGGCCATTAGCAGGACCTGAATTGGAAGTGGAACAGCTGAGACATGAACTTGTACCTATATGGGATGCCCATATCACAACTGGTGGCTTTACCACTATGCTACAATGCTGGTCCAACATGCCTTTCTATTTATTGACTTATTAATTTTTAAGTAGAAATACCACTGTTTCTCAAGAGTATTGACAAGGGCTATAAACAATAATCAAATCTCAAAATGTCAGTTTCGCTCATATACATTATATTTTTTGGACTCTATATATTAGTTACCACAAATCAGGGGAAACTGGGGCCATCGCTGTGGCACAGTGGGCTAAAGCCTCTGCCTGTGGTGCCACCATCCAACATGGGCGCCGGTTCTAGTCCTGGCTGCTCCTCTTCTGATCCAGTTCTCTGCTGTTCAAGTGCTTGGGCCTCTGCACCCATGTGGGAGACCTGGAGGAGTCTCCTGGCTCCTGGCTTCAGATTGGCCCAGCTCTGGCCATTGCAGCTATTTGGGGAGTGAATCAGTGGGAGGAGGACCTTTCTCTTTGCCTCTCCCTCTCTGTGTCTGTAACTCTACAATCAAATAAATAAATGTCAATAATGTAAATAAAAAGAAAAAATCAGGGAAAACCTATGATCTTTGTCTTTGGAGGACTGGCTTATTTCCCTGAGCTTAATGGTCTCCAGTTGCATCCACTAGGTTGCAAAAGGCAAGATTTCATTTTTTTTGCAGCTGAATCAGAAGTAGAGCAACCAGGACTCTAATCAGCACCCAGATGGGATGCAGGCACCTCAGGTGGAGGCTTCCCCTGCTGTGCCACAGTGCAAGCCCCAAGATGTCTGTTTTTGTGCCAGTACCAAGCTGTTTTGATTATAACTGCTTTGTAATATGTCTTGAAATCAGGTAGTATAATGCCTCCAGCTTTATTTTTATTATTCAGGATTGCTTTAGCTGTTTAGGGTCTCATGATTCCATTTGAATTTTAGGATCATTTTTTCAGATCTTAGAAAAGCATATTTGGTATTTTGGTTGAGATCACATTGAGTCTATAAATTGCTTTGAGTAGTATTGACATTTTGATTATATTAATTCTTCCAATCCATGAACATGGAAGATTTTTCTATTTTTTTGTGTGTCTTCTATTTCTTTCCTTAATACTTTATAATTCTCATTGTAGAGATTTTTTGTAGCTATTTTGAGTGGGACTGATATTACAAGTTCTTTCTCATCATTGGCATTGTTTTTGTATACAAATGCTATTGATTTTTGTGTATTGATTTTTTTATCCTGCAACTTTGCCAAAATATCTTATGAGTTCCGGTAATCTCTTAGTTGAGTCTTTTGGTTCTGCTATGTATAGGATCATATCATCTGCAAATAGGGATAATTTTACTTCCTCCTTTACTATTTGTATCCTTTTGATTTTTTTTTTCTTATCTAATGGCTCTGGCTAAAACTTCCAGAACTATATTGAATAGTAATGGTGAGAGTGGGCATCATTGTCCGGTTCTGGATCTGCTGTGGGTCTGTTAAATATTGCCTGCATTGTGTTGTGGTATTTTCCCTCCATACCCAATTTGCTTAAAATTTTTATCATGAAAGGATATAGGATTTTATCAAATGCTTTTGATATCTATTGAGACAATCATATTTTTTTATTTTTCAGTTTGTTAACGTGATGTATCATATTTATTGATTTGCATATGTTGAACCATCCCTGTATACCAGGGATAAACCCCACTTGGTCCTGGTGAATGATCTTTCTGATGTGTTGTTGGGTTCAATTAGCTAGTTTTTGTTGAGGATTTTTGCATCTATGTTTATCAGGGATATTGGTCTATGGTTCTCTTTCTTTGTTGTAACATTTTCTGATCTGGGAATTAAGGTGATACTGGACTCATAAAAGCAGTTTGGAAGAATTCCCCTCTTTCAGTTGTTTTGAATAGTTTCAGAAGAATTGGAATTAGTTCTTCAGCAGTAAAGCCATCTGATCCTGCACTTCTCATTGTTGGGAGGGTCTTCATTACTGATTTAATCTCTGTCTTGGCTATAAGACTATTTAGGTTTTCTTTCTTATTTTTTAAAAGATTTATTTATTTATTTGAAAAGCAGAGCTTATGGGGAGAGAGGGAGAAGTCGAGAGAGGGAGAGAGAGAGAGAGATCTTCCATCCTCTGGTTCACTCCCCAAATGGCAGCAACAGCCAAAGGTTGGCCTGTCTAAAGATAGGAGCCAGATCTCCCACCTGAGTACAGAGGCCTAAGGACTTGGGCCATCCTTCACTGCCTTCCCAGGCACATTAGCAAGGAGCAGGATTGGAAGTGGAGCAGATTCTTTTTATTTCTGTGGTATCCATTGTAACATCTCCTTTTTCATCTTTGATTTTATTAATTTGGGTCATCTCCCACCTGTCTCTCCCCCTTTGTTTGGTTAGTTGGGCCAGTGGTATATCAATTTTGTTTATTTTTCAAAAAAAACAAGCTCTTCATTTCATTCATCTTTTGTGTTGTTTTTTTTTTTTGTCTCAATTTTGTTTATTTCTTTTCCAGTTTTTATTGTTTCTTTCATTCTACTAATTTTGGGTTTGGTGTGTTTTTGTTTCTCTAGATCCTTGAGATGCATTGTCAGATCATTTGTTTGATGCCTTTCCAATTTCTCGATGTAACACTAGTTGCTGTAAACTTTCCTCTTAACCCTGCTTTTGCTGTGTCCCAAAAGTTTTGATATGTCATGTTGCCATCTTCATTTGTTTCTAGGAATTTTTTTATTTCTTCTATGTCCCACTATTCATTCAATAGTATGTTGTTCAGTCTCCATATGTTTGTATATTTTCTAGAAATTCTTTAAGTTGTTAATTTCCAGCTTCATTCCATTGTGGTCAGAAAAGATACATGGTCTGATGTCAGTTCTTTTGAATTTCTTGAGACTTGCTTTGTGGCCTATCATATGGTGTGTCCTAGAGAAAATTCCATTAACTGATGAAAAGAATGTTTATTCTGCAGCTGTGGGATGAAATGTTCTGTAGATATCAATTAGGTTCATTTTGTCAGTAGCGTAGATTAGCTCTGTTGTTTGTTGATTTTCTGTCTAGCTGGTCTGACCATTGATGAAAGTGGGGTGTTGAAGTCCCCCATTATTATTGTATTGGATCCTATATCTCCCTTTAGGTCCATTAACATTTGTTTTAAATAGCTGTGCACCCTAGCATTAGGTGCATATACATTTACTATATTCACATCTTCTTGTTGAATTGATCCCTTAGTTATTACATAATGCCCTTCTTGGTCTCTTTTAACAGATTTTGTGCTAAAGTTTGTATTGTCTGATATTAGGATGCGTATTCCTGTTCATTTTTCCTTCTGTTTGCCTGGAATATCCTTTTCCAACTTTTCACTTTCAGTCTTCATGTTTCTTTGTTGATGAGGTGTGTTTCTTGTAGGCAGCAAATAAATGGGTCTTGTTCTTTAATCCATCAGCCAGTCTGTATTTTTTATTGGAGAATTTAGGCTATTTACATTCAAGGTTATTATTGATCAGTAACAGCTTGGTCCTGCCAGTTTTTCATAAATATTCCTATTGTTTGTTTTGTATTTTTTTGTGCCTCTGAACAATTTTATCTTTAAAAAAAAAAAAAGAAAGGGAAAGAAAAGGGAAAAACCACACCATAAGGGGGAAGGCCCCAAGTGGGCCCCTGCCTGCTCTCCTCCCTGGCTCCAGAGACTTCTGCATAGGCCTGCACTGCTTGCTAGCAGCTTCTCTCCCCTTTGTGGGACAGCAGCCACTTTTGCTTTTTCTAATTTTTTCTTCTCTTTTCCTGTCTAAGAATTTCCAAAGATTAGTCTTGTAGCTCAGATATTTTTTCTTCTGCCTCACCAAGTCTATTGTTAAGACTTTACACTGTATTTTTTATTTGACATATATAATTCTTCTTTCTAATATTTCAGTTTGATTTCTCTCCAATATCTCTATCTCCTGGCAGAATTTTTCATCCATGCCACATATGGATTCCTTTAACTCATGCATTTGCTTCTATGTGTTTTTGAGTAAACTTATGATCATTTTTTTGAATTCCTTTTCAGGCATTTCATCAGTCTCTTTGTCTTCACATTATAATATTGAAGTGGTGTTTTGTCCTTTTGGAAAGTCATATTGTCTTCTTTGTTCATGTCTTCCTTGTTCATGTTTCCTGTATTTCTCCATTAATTTTTAGTCATTTGTGAAATACTTGTTGGCTTTCTCCTCCAAAGGCATTTTTCTTTGAAATATGACTCTCTGGCTTAATGGAGTGTCTGCTCTTTCAGTGGCTATCCAGAGGCGTGTGCTAGGTGGGGCCAGGGGTTCTATCCAGTGCTTGAGGATGGGGCAAGAGTCCAGAGTGATACCCATTATACCTCAGAATTAAACACTCCTAGGTCATTCATCAGTAAAAGTTCCTCAGAGGATATCACACACCCTAGAGTCCTACTGAACTGAGGGCACTCTTCCTCTCACCCCATATACTTAAGGATGAGGTATGAGTTTGATGTTTTACCTAACTCATACTCTCATTTCCAGATCATTGTCTTGTCACTTTAAGAAAAACTCCACTTGTGGGGGGTTCCTGTCATCCAGTCAACATCTACCCCAGTCCCTACTTATGGATGCTGTATACTCAGAACTTAACCACTTTCTCTAAAGCCCTGAAAACAGTATAGCTGACTCATGAATTCTGTCATCCTTC